TCTGGTAATTCCCTTATTGCCTTGTTTAAGGTTTCTGTTGCGAGTGTATCAGCTGCCCTGTATTCTGAGATTGGATATGGGTGCCTGGTCAGTGTAGGTATTGTTCTAGACGGTTATGTCCTGATAAGATGGCACCCAGCTGTAAGCCTTGCCTTCTTGTTTTCTAATGATCTAAGCTATGCCTTCCTGCAAGAAACTCATCTACCTATATCTGAACTATGCTAGCTATTCTGTCTCAGTTTTAGTATTATACATAATCTAAAGATGGTTTAAAGTATACAGGAGAATGTGGGTGGGTTATGTAAACACTATGCTATTTATGTAAAGGACTAGAATGTTTACAGATTTTGGTATCTGCAGGGCATCCTGGAACTTATCTCCCAAGGATACTGAGGGGTGACTATAATTACAACTGTATAAAACATATGATCATATGAAAGAAAATCAGCAGAAAAATCAAGATGGAATTATGGGTATTTTAAAACTTTTCTCACCAACATTTCTGTGATTATAAATAATACAAAAATTATTAAACTACTAAAAATAAAAATTTGACATAAAACAGTGCTATTTTAATTCCTTCAAGTATTAGTCTAATCAGAATTTTTCGTATTTTAAGAAAAATACGAGTTCGTTTTTAAATGCTTCACTTTTGTGAAGAAAATAACAATTTCCTATTCTTTTTCTTAAAAAATTGAGCTAAACTCAAACTAACTCAGAAGTATTTTATACTCATATTGAGATCTTTTGATTTTGCTAACTGTATTGTAGCCTAGACTAGTAGAGTCAGAAAGGCTTATACAGGGTTAACTTAGTCCATTAGATATTTGGTTTTAGAAATTCATTTTCTCTTGTTGTATATTCCTGAATGAATGAATCTAGCTTATCCAATTAATTATCATTGTTAAGAAATACTAGCTGTAATAAGGCTACTTCCATTTAGAATTTCGATGTACAAGATATAAAATAAGTGAGAATTAACCATGCAACCTATGGACCACCTCAGCCTTGGAGGAGTTGAAGAAACTTGAAACTCACTGATGTACTTTCAAAAAGAATAACATCAAATATATTCTTAATAATAGTACCTTTAGAAACTGGGAAGAAAATTACTACTATCGAACAAAGTTTCTTTCTTGGCAGTTAAGTCAACTATTTCACTTTACAATCTGTTGGTTTCTTTTTTTTTATGTCTTTTCTGGATTATATCTAAATTTAATATTGAAGATGGCACTTAGCATTTCTGTGGCCTAATCTTATTTTCCATGACAAATGTGTGCACTTGTTTCTATTACCTTAGGAATTATTAGAGATTGGTTCAGAGTTTTTCCTGTATTTTAATGTTCTGACTTTTTCTACTCATTATTGTGATCACATACAACTTTATGCCTCTATTGCTCAAGGAGATTTCACAAAAAAATAATTTTAATAAATGTCAAATGCAATATATTTGCATGAATTGTCTCATGAATTTGAAATTCCAGAAGCTATAACTTTGTTAACTGAAATGCGTTAGCCTGGATCTCAATATGTGAAAAATCATTTAAGGTTGAATTGGCTTCAACATAAAACTCTTTGAAAATAGCCCAAAGTAATTGTGAATTCTGGAACTACTGCCGAAACATTGTTCCTTCTCTACCTTTGAAAAAAGAATGTGGCTTTTTGGCTATTTATATTTATATGACACATATGACCAGAGTAAACAAAATTTTAAATATTAAAGACATTAACAAGTAATGATGACAAAGATGAGTAAACATCTAGTATCTTCCATACCACCAGGCAAGCTTAGAGTCATTTTTGAAAACTATTCTTTTACTCTCCCTCTTCACATCTCCTATTTTTGTATCCCAGGTTGAGAGAAAATAATAAATCACCTTTGAAATACCTCCGACTTTGTGCTTGTTAGTAAACTGCCTTAGGGTACACCTGTCTGCCAGAAAACTTAATTGAGGCTTGAAAATTCAAACTCAACACATGATTCTCTAATTCCTTCCTGACTACCATAAAACACATTATTATTTTTATGATAACATTTGTTTTGTACTTGACAGGTTCTAAAGCTGCTTTGTGATGTCCTAATCTACTAAGAGTCACTTTATTGAGCACCTCACTCCCACTGCCAGATCAGGACATGAGAACCACACTCTGCAGTGTGGGAAACAGCAACTTCCTAAGGTTCAATTTCATTCCCAAGATTACATAAGTCAGTGTCAATATTATAACTGACTTGACGTGTCATCCAGCACTCTCTTACCGTGTCATGTGGCCTCCCAGGAGCCCAGAAAAACAAACTGTTATAAACTTATGGTTTGAGAATCCATTGCACTATGTATGGACTGAATTGTATTCCTCTAGAATCCATATGTTGAAGCCCTAACCCCCAAGGCGACTGTATTTAGAAAGAAGACTTATAAGGAGGTAATTAAGGTTTACTGAGATCATAAGGGTGCGACCCTGATATGAGAGAATTCGTGTTCTTATAAGAAGAGACACCAGAGAATTTATTCCCTCCCTCTCTCTGCCATGTAAGGACACAGCAAGAAGGTAGCCTTGGCAAGTCAGGAAGAGAGCCCTCTCCAGAAACTAAATCAGCTGGCACCTTGAACTTAGACTTCCCAGCCCCCAGAACTGTGAGAAATAAATTTGCTGTTGAAGCCACCAGTCTGTGGTAGTTTATTATGGCAGACTAAGACACATTGCTAAGATTAAATTAAAATGAGGAAAATTCTGGGGGAAAAATAGTGTTTTTTGCTATAGTCCATCTAAATAATAAGATAAACTCAAAATACCGACAAAACAAAAAAAGACTCCAAAACCATCTATCCAAGACATACAGCTCTAAAGACAGTGTTAAAATAGATTACAGTGAGTTTAGTGTCTGGAAAGCAGAGGCATTATTGGAGTTCAGCAGTCGAAATATAAATGTTTATATTGTCTACATCTCCTAAGCCAACTTTAGTGAGCTGTACTTGAGAAAGAAAAGAAGCAGTTTCTGACACCCAAGAGCTGACCTGGGGCTGTCAACCAGGCCTGGACATCCTCCTGCCGGACATAAACAATCTCATTGAACGTCAGTGGCAGACAAGGCTGCTCCGAGACCCTGATGGATCAGGACAAAAACAAGACCACTCCATAACCACGCCTGAACGGAGACAAAATATGAACATTATCCAAGCCACAAAATACCTGCCATCCCCTTCCCCAGCTAATACAAGCACCTGCCACTCGCTGTTTTGTCAATTATGGCTTTAATCTCACTCTAGTCCTCCCCACCGACAGATAGGAATTGCTGTACTGAGATAGTCACAGAATCACTCCTTTTTTCTGGCAGCATCTGATCCCGAGCAAAGTTTCCTAAAATCCTCCTCCCAAATCACCTAGTGCAAACCCCAGTCTTTTTAGTTTTTTCTATCACTCATTGACCGAGACTTTCTCTGGCCCCCCATTCTGTCCCACGAGCAGTAATAGACCCAGGATGTTCAACAGAACTGTGTTCCTAGAAGTCTCTGGGTGGAAAACACTGATGAGGGGAGCTGAAAGCTGACCCTGATCTGCTTCTGCATTTTGTTGAAATTATTTTTAAAATGAATTTTTTTTGCTGGACATATTTTAAAAATGAATAAAGCTCAGAATTCTAAACTGTGTACTCCATTGTCAAATGTTGTTCAATTTTTTCTTTTGTTTTCTTTTTCTTTTATCTTTTATTTCCCATTCCCAGAACTCTTTCTTGTAATTTTTTTATTTATAAATTTTTAATTTTAATTTTAAAATTTTTAATTTTTCAAATTAAAAAAAATTTTTAACTTCTGTTTTAAAGTGAGACAGAAATCGGACTCATATCCCAAGGAAGTTCATCAAATTTGAATTTTAAAGATCTGTGACCCTCTCTACTGGCTGCATTACCTCATTGAGATATGAATCCAGTTAACAAATGAAACAACATCAAATGTGAGTTTTTGTATTAATACCATTGTTGGTTTTTGTTTTTTGTCTTGAGTTAGGATTTCACTCTGTTTCCCAGGCCGGAGTGCAGTGGCACACTCATGGCTTACCATAGCCTCGGCCTCCTGGGTTCACGAGATCCTCCAGCCTCAGCTTCCCAAGTAACTGGGATTATAGACATGTGCCACAGGCTTAGCTAATTTTTTAAAATGTCATTGTAGGCCAGGCGCAGTGGCTCAGCCTGTAAGCCCAGCACTTTGGGAGGCCGAGGTTGGTCTGAGCTCAGAGGTTCCAGCCCAACCTGAGCAACTTGGTGAGACCTTGCCTCTACAGTAAACCACAAAAATTAGTTGGGCATGGTGGTATGGTCTGTAGTTCTAGCTACTTGGAAGGTTGATGTGGAAGCATCGCCTAAGCCCAGCAGGTCAAGGCTGCAGTGGCCATGAGAATGCCACTGTCCTCCAGCCTGGGCGACAAAGTGAGACTCCAACTCAAAAAAAAAAAAAAAATTCATTGTAAAGACAGGGTCTCACTATGTTGCCCTGGCTTGTCTCAAACTCCTGGCCTCAAACAGTCCTGCCACTTTGGCCTTCCAAAGTGCTAGGATTATAGATGTGAGCCACCACACCTGGCCTCATTGTCAATGGCATTTGTCATTGTTGTATGTCCAGCCCCATTATGCACTCTCTTCCCCTTTTCTGGTTAACAGAACCTTCTTTTCCTGCAGTTAACACAATGAAGGCAGTTTTTGTGGGTTAATGCACTTCAACACCACTCATGTAGCCAATAAAAAACCATTAACCATTATGCAAGTTTACACATTCACCTCTGGATTGTAAACTCCTGTTTAAGGTCATTCCAAAATTAACCATCCTCAAAGCATGGGTTTCTGATTAAGGGTTTTCAGTGCTATGTAACCATCCTTTCGGGTGTCAGTTCAAATTCATTGACTTTTGCACACATCTCATAATTCACACAGAGGATAAAATACCGCCAAACCTTAATCTTATTGAAAAACAAATCTGACATAGTACTGAGCAAATCTTTGAACATACCACAAAAATAGGGTCATTGGCAGCTGAATGTGGTAAAGCGTTTGTCCCATTCAGGAAGGCATGAACCAAATTATGAAGATTCATCACTTGAGAGTCCAGGGTTCCGTCCGCTTTATCAAATCCTTCCAGGGCATTCCTGGGAGAAACCATTTTATCAGTGACAAAAGGCAAAAGTTGGTCAAAATCTCTTTCTTATTGTTTCCAGCCTCAATAATAGTCTTCTAACTTGCAATTGGGTAGAAACACAGGAGGCTGCGTCATAGCAAATTAACTAAGAATTAGTGCCAACCTAATTTTTCAATGCTGTTTCCATATCTGCTCAATAGAATTACGAGAGGAAACTCAAGAAAACCTAAGTACTTTATTTTATTCTTTTTGGTGCTACTGCAAATGAAATTGTTTACTTAGTTTTATTTTTGGATTGCTCATTACTCATATACAGGAGGGGGGACCCCTCAAAAACAGACTTTATTTATTAAAAATTGTTTATTTATTCTTACATGTTTAAACTTGTCACCTTCAGAATACTCTCCGTCTGATACACCTATCAAGATGCCTTCTTCCACGACTCTAACAGTTTTTAAACTTGTCCATTTTGATGCCTTTTAGTTCTGCTGTTTTTTGTTTCACCTTTCCCATATTGGCAAAGTGTTTCTTTTTTAGGCCTTTTTTTCATCTGGGGAAACAAAAAAAGGCGCTTGGGGAGAATAGCGAGAGTAGGGTACAGGGGCCATGCCATTTTTGGTCAAAAACTGCTGAACACTCAGGGCGGTGTGGGCAGGTGTGCTCGTAAATCATCCATCATGAAATGGGTAAATGCACTGAGAGAATCTCCAAAAACATTTACTGAAGCCTCTCACAACAATGCTGGCTGGTACACTGACACTGATGTGTTCCTAGAACACTTACCTTGCAGGGAAAACCTATACATACTATAAGGAAGCCGCCTTCTAAAAATTAATTCCAAGTTTTTGGGACATCCCCCCCATATATCTCTTTCGTGTGCTATATGACAATTACCTTTATATCTGTCTGTTATGTACTTAGAGGACAGAGACTATATTATCTTCAGATTTTATTGCTAGGACTCAGTACCATGCCCAGCTCACGGTCTGTGACCGATACATGTTGTTTATTTAGCATACACTCTTTTTTTTTTTTTTTTTTGAGTCAGAGTCTCATTCTGTTACCCAGGCTGGAGTGCAATGGCACACTCAAGCCACTGCAGCCTTGACCTGCTGGGCTCAGGTGATCCTTCTGCCTCAGCCTTCCAAGTAGCTGGAACATAGGCATGTGCCACCATGCCCGGTTGGATTTTTTGATGTATTGTAGAGACGAGGTCTCGCCATGTTGCTCAGGCTGGTCTCAAACCCCTGAGCTCAGGCAATCCTCTCGCCTCTGCCTCTGCAAAGTGCTGGAATTACAGGCATGAGCCACCGCTCCCAGCATTAACATACAATCTTATATTCATATTTCTCAACTAAATAGAACTTCAGCTCGACTGGAATATGTTCTGCATTCTAAATGTATCCCAAAATTCTCCTTACTCTTCTCTCTTTCTTTCTCCTCACAGTCAGTGAATTCTAATTCACCAAACCCTAATTCAGCGATCCTCAAATTTAAGTACACTTCGGAATCACTGGACAAAAACATATATTTCATGCCCTCCTCTCAGAATTTCTGATTCAGTAGGTGCAGGCTGGGTCCTAACAATTTGCATGATGCCAGTTATGGTGGTCTAGACTCCACATTTTGATAGGGAATTTGGGAATGAGATCTGGGCTTTCTGCTTGTTTTCATTTTTTTAGACAGGGTTTGGCTCTGCTGCCCGTAGCCTCAACCTCCTGGGCTCCTGCAATCCTCTTGTCTCAGCCTCCCGAGTAGCTGGAACTATAGGCATGTGCCACCAAGCCCAGGTAATTTTTTTATTTTGGTAGAGACAAGGTCTTGGTATGCTGCCCAGGCTGGTCTCGAAGTCCTGGGCTCAAGCAATCCTCCTGCCTCGGCCTCCCAACGTGCTGGGATTACAAGTGTGACACCACATCCTACTGCAATCTGTCTTGATAGTATTTTTGTCACAACCAAAAAATGAATGCATGATTCTTTTCAGGACGATCTTATACGTTACCCTTGACCTACCTTTGCCATTACTCTGAGGACTGCTCCCAATCCCAGCATAGACTCTGAGCCCTGCTACACCTAGCACAACCTCTGCAAATGAGCTCAGCCTACCCTGCCCCTGGCCCCATACAAATTGTATCATTTACACAGTTAGAGAGAGATTCCATTTTGGAGAAGACCATGAATCCATCCATCACACATTGTTGCTTAAAATCTTATTTATATACATATTTCTCATCATTCTTTGAACTTTTTTTGAGTCAGGGTCTCACTCTGTCACCCATGTTGGAGTGCAGTGGCATGATCATGGCTCACCACAGCCTTGACCTCCTGCCTCCTAGCAATCCTGCCACCTCAGCCTCCCAAAAAGCTGGGATTACAGGCATGAGCCACTGTGCCCAGTCTGTAGTTTTCATAGTATTTTTTTTTTGAGTTGGAGTCTCACTCTGTCATCCAGGCTGGAGTGCAGTGGCATGCTCACAGCCACTGCAGTCTCAACCCACTGGGCTCAGGCGATCCTTCCACCTCAGCTTTCCAAGTAGCTGGAACCACAGGCACGTGCCACCAGCCCTGCTAAATTTTTGACTTATTGTAGAGCTGAGGTTGGTTTTGAACCCCTGGACTCAGGCAATCCTCTTGCCTCCACCTCCCAAAGTGCTGGGATTATAGGCCTGAGCTACTGTGCCCAGTTTAGTTCTCATAATTTTTAAAGCCTTTTTTTGGCAACAGAAAATTAATAGTTGGTCTCTAAATTCTAAGTACTGCAATATCAATGCTATGCTATAATTTGAGTTAAATTTAATCTGCAATACTCCTCTGAGACTTCAGTCACTAACGTGAAAGTCTATGGCTAACAACTTTCTAATGTCAACATTAAAAAAAAAATAAGAAAGAAAAGAATGATGGTGGTACATGCCTATAGTCCCAGGTACCCAGGAAGCTGAGGCAAGTGGATCATTTGAGCCCAGGAGGTCAAGACTACAGTGAGCCAAGGTCATGCCACTGTACTTCAGTCTGGGCAACAGAGCAAGACCCTGTCTCTAAATCAAAATTCCAGAACTTTGAGAGGCCAAAGTAGGAGGATCACTTGAGGTTAGGAGTTCAAGACCAGCCTGCGAAACATAAGGGGACTCCATCTCTACAAAAAAATAAAAATATTAGCCAGATATGGTGATGCAGGCCTATAGTCCTAGCTACTTGGAAGGTTGAGGTAGGAGGATTGCTTGAGTCCAGGAATTTGAGGCTGCAGTGAACCATGATTGTACTACCATACCCCAGCCTGGGCAACAGAGCAAGACTTTGTCTCAAAAAATTAAATAAAACAACATAATACTTAATGAAGTACCCTGGTTCCAAAGAGTATACAGACACTATGGAATATACACATATGGGGGGACTCCCCAAAAACCAGATTTTTTTGGTGGACAGGACCCTTGTAGTACAGGTTTCACCCACTAGGTAAGTGTTCCAGGAACCCATCAGTATCAGTGTACCAGCTAGTATTGATGTGAGAGGCTGTGTTTGGCTTCAGTCATTTTTTTTTTTTTTTTAGATTCTTTCATTGCATTTGCCCATTTCATGATGAATGATTTACAAACACAACTAACCCCATATTAGGTGTTCAGTTGTTTTTGACCAAAAAGATGGCATGATCCTCCTGCCCCATCATCCCTATTCAGTCGATCTCACCCTGAATGACTTTTTTTGTTGTTGTTTCCTCAGATGAAAAGAGTCCTCAAAGGGAAACATTTTGCTTGTGGAAGAGGTGAAACAAAAAACAGCAGAAGCACTCAAAAGCATCAAAATTGATGAATTCAAAAACTGTTTTGAGCAGTGGAAAAAGCATCTTGATAGGTGTATTTCATCAAACAGAGTCCTTTGAAGGTGACCGAAGTTTAAACACATGAGAATAAATACACAATTTTTTTTTATAAGTCAATTCTGGTTTTTTTGGAGTCTCATACATTTTAATTAGAAATATAAAAGATGGGTTTGAGCAGCTAAGTTAGAAGACATTAAAAATAAACTGTTATGAATAGTAGATAGATCATGATTTTCCCAATATCAGTCCCTAATCAAGCCTCTCTCCATCAGTTAGCTTTGTAGATGGCTCCCAATACATCACTCCCACAGGCATGAAACCCACAAGCATTGTAAATGGTGGCCCATTAGAGAACAGAGAACCCACCTGAAGCTGAAGGTAGAATTCTGGAAGAAAGGAGGATTGTCAAACTTCTGGAGGGACAGACAATCTTGTATGTCTTGTAAGGTTGGCAATTTCTCACTATTTCTTCCCACTTGATTTCTTCTCAACAAACCTTCATGGGTTCCATTGCACAGGGTGACCCGGCGGTTATAGTCATTCAAGCTAAGATGGGTAAGAAGGTTGAAAATGACATGTCTTAGCTCATGGATGGCATCACAAATTTGGACCAAGTCAGTCAATCTGGGTCACAGTAGTGGTAAAATTTTAATTGCAGTTAACTTCCAGGGTCCACAATTGGTGGTAAAGGTACCACTCCTGAAAATCATCATGGATCAAGAAGTTTCAAAAATGTAGATGCACAAAATATGAATATAGGCATAAATGAGGATAATAATGAACATTCCATTGGAAGGACGGTGAACGGGTTTACATGGCAAGATGGTGACTCCAGTTGCATCCATTTGAAACTTGAATAACTGAAGAGAGAAGAGGGTGGCCCATATTACACTGAGCTAAGCCAATTTGGGTAGAAGTATGAAAAGCTAGTAAAGCATTTTAGGCAAACTGATGGCAAACAGAGGAGTCAGAGCAAAAGCAGATAAAACTATACCAAGGGGAGATACGAGAAGAAACACTGGGATCATGAAAATGTGAGATGTAGACACTAGAGAATGCTATTCAGTCAACAAAAAGAATGAAATCATGCCTTTTGCAGCAACCTGGATGGAACTGGAGAACATTATCCTCACCAAACACCACATGCTCTCATTTCTAAGTGGGAGCTAAACCAGGGATCTGCAAAGGCATAGAGAATGGTATCATGGACACTGCAGACTCAGAAGGTGGCAGGAGGGGAAGGAGTAGAGAGACGAAAAATCACCTATCCTGTACAGTGTGCACAGTGGGGGTGGTGGGTACATTTAAAGCCCAGACTTTTTGCCACTATACAATGCAACCACGCAACCAAAAGCCATTTGTACCCCCTTAATGTATTGAAATAAAGAAAAAAGGAAAAGAAACACTGCATTGGAACATATTGAAAGGCAGTAGGATATCAAAAGTTATGTGATAAACACGGGGGCTGAGAAAGTTCCATGTCCATCAAATATTCTATCCTACATGCCTGTTGTGGCCTGGAGTTTCACCATCAGAACAGGTGTGCATGAGGAGAGACAAAACTGTAAAGATATTCCTGTATGGGTTTTTATGGTGGAGGGGGTAATATTGGGTAGGTGAGAATAGAAACAGAACCCCCAGGGGAATAAAAGAGGTCAGGACCAAACACCAGGCAAAAAGAGGCCCGAAAGGTAGCACGTCCCAAAGTCGGTTCCAGTGGGATGGTCTATGATATAAATGAGTGCTCTGGGGTCAGGTTAGTTTATGTGCCTCTTGAAGGATAATAGTACATTTATCTATGAAAGGCTAGAAAACATTCTGAAAATTTCGTGAATCTTTTAAACTCAGCCCTCTCTAAATTTGTTTAATCACAGAAATAAATCTCTTTTCACAAAGCACCTATTAATATCCCAAGGCATGCTGGGAAATGGTGCTTTATAGAATTAAGCCAAGTCAGGTAAAAAGCAGTGAGGACGTCTCTAGTTGGGGAGCACAGCATAGGATGTAGCCAGCTGGGTCCAGGTCCCCCCACACTCGTGACTGCCTGGGCTCTGGGTGTTCGCAATGAAACCTGGGGGTGAGCCCACGCTCGGTGCTCTGGAACAATCTAAGGACCCAGGAGGAAAGGCAGAGTCGTGAGGTTTAAAACACAGGGATTAATGGGGGGGGAGGAATGGAATAAAGAAAAGCATAGACGCTGCTTGGACAATCTTTTCACTGAGATAAATTTAAGGAATCTTTGAGGACAGAATTCTTCATGGGTTGCAGGCCACTTACCCACCCATGTGTCCCCCTCAACTCACCAGCATCCTGTGGTCCGTCCATACCAGGCTGCTTCCAGAAACTTTTCTAGTTCACATGTGATGTTTTTCCTCCACCAAGGACTCAGTCACCACCCTCCCACTCCCCTTCCCTCCCCTCCCCCCCCCCCCCCCCCCCCCCCCCCCCCCCC